TAGTGTTATTCTGAAATTGAAAATTGTTTGATTTATCTCCGTATCTCTGAAGCAAAAATGTGCAAATTTTGATTTTACCATTGTAAGTCCCAAAAAGAGCCCATAACGCCTATAAAAGTATCGAAAATGGGACACCCTGTACATGAAGTTTTTTAAGTATAAGTTTCGAAGAAATTATCGTAGAATGCTCGGATTTGAAGCATTAGCTTTGTGCCACAATTCTTTACATGTAGATTATATTTCAGCACAAAAACTTTCCTTCATAATCAAACTGTAGCATAAAATGAGTAAAACCTCTATCCGTCGCACAAAAACGCGCTTAAGTAGCTCGACGCATCCAACTTTCCACCTTGTGAACAGCAATCAACAACATAGGATTAAACCATTCATTTCAGTAGGGGGTGGAAAGGGTTAAACTGGAACAAGAGAATTAGAAAATATAAGTAATAAGCGTTGTACTTTCTGACTAATTCATCAATCTCCCCAAGGGGGTTGAAATATTCATCCTTTCCAGTAGGGGATGGAACTGAACTGAAGTGAGACAATTTTTTTCAAACGTATATTAGAAAGCGCTACAATCTCACAGTGATTCAAATATCACTACTAGTAAGGGTTGAAAGGTGAATTATTATGCATCCCCTTTGGTAGGGGTTCAGGGTGGGGGGATTTATACCACGATAAGTTCAAAATATTTTCTCATAGAACTCTTAATTACAGAGATAAAGTATAAAATTTCGTTCTAGATCTATATAGACATTTCAGAATTCTTAAAAACATAAGCACATTTGAAGCTCTATATCTTTTTTAATCAAAATTTTACAAAAAGTAGTATATATCAATCATTAAGAAGATATGATTGGAAAACTATGAAACCAACCAAATTTTGAAGGTTTTGGCGGTGGTACAGGGGAAGCACAAGGGGTGGGAGGTCGCAAACTTAGATTCTTAACCAGAAAACGAATTTGGAACTACTTCTCATTTTGCAAGTTAAAACTCTCTGTTCCCTGGACTAACATTCGACAATGTATTTCTTATGGAAATAATTCCATGGCTGATTATGACTGAAACCAAATTCGTTTGTTTATTGTCTCGCATAGTCACCATCGACACGGCCATGGAATTATTGCCATAAGAAATACATTGTAAACTTCGAGGCAAAAATGTAAGGTTGCTTCCCAAATGAAATACTAAGTGTTTAGTAAAATCACTGGTTTTGTAATATTTTTCTCTATCGAGTGACGTAAAAATCCAATATGGCGTCCATTTAAAAATCTCGGAAACCGCCATTTTAAAAACAAAATTTCTACGTTCATTGAATTTATCCAATTCTTCGTTTTTAGTGGTTAAGGACAACACCGATTTTTGCGATAAAAATAATTGAAAATGTGAATGTAACAATACGCTTTCAAAAATCTCCGCGTTACTTACTTCAACTTTAGCTTCAAGGCCCCTAAAGAAATTTAAATTTTATAGGTGTACAAATCAGCACAAAGTAGGCGCAAATTTTTAAATCCTCTATTGAAATTTTGAGTTTCGACGCTTAAGGAAAATTTTGATTTTCTACGCAAGAATTTAGCAAAGTGTGATTTATATATTGTGTCAATGGGAGAGCACGTACATTTCCGTGTCACTTTTAGGATCCTCTCCCAAGCAGTGATTCCGATACTTACATTCACATACAATTTTATTTCTTTTTCCGAGACAATTAATCCTTGACTTTTCAGTAAAGTTACGTTCATGGCTAATTACCTCTTACGTTCAATGGTCAACGGTTGCGTACGTATAAATCATATTGCAACATATCGAACTATGAAACATTCAATGACGATATTTAAGCAACACGCAATTGCTATTTATCCGTAATTTATCTATAAACGTGCATAAAACAAAATTACTAGTCGGTGGACTATAATTTGATGTGGCAAGACACTAAACGTAGTTTACGTCGTGACATTGCATCTGCGAAACTTTATTTGGCAATAAAAATCTCACAATGGAAGGCATAACGAGACGCGTTTATTTCGTTTTGTTTTCATTTCGCCAAGGAAACCCTCGTTTTTCCCTAAATTGGCTATTTTCAATTTGAAAAAAATCGAAATCGTCGTATCTTCTCTGGCAAATATTAATAACGAGCGCCTTTGTTGTACTTTAATAATTCGTTTGAAAATCCAAGTCTTCCGACAAAGAAATTCTCCACAAATATTTGCCTCACCTAAAGACGATTATTCATATTGACATGGTAGTAATTTACTTAGTAGTACTATATCAGTTTGAAGCGCATGGAAATTATGTTCGCTTGTCATAATGGAATAATTTTTCCGAGTTCGTAATGCTGGGAAAAACCGTGCGATCAATAAGTCTGAGATATTAATCAAGCATCGACCTGTCTCAGCACAATATAGAATAAGGGATTAAAGTGTCTTTCTACGTGAACTGTATCATAAACAATTTCATTTCGGTTGAGAAAGGAAAACTGGAGGTAAACACTAAGCTTAAAGTCGAACAGTGAAATGAAATTAGTTGCAATGTTAAAATGCTATATTCCGTTCAAAATTTCATTCGGAAATCTGCACCCCTGTTTTACAACAAAGCAGTGGCTGGAGCATCATTGTTCTGAATTTTTCCAGAGATACATTAACGAATGCAAATTTTAATTGGAAATAAACGGGGTGCGTAGCAAACTAACAATGATGACATTTCGTGAGGAGATTATGCAGTTTGTAATTGCATAATATTTGCAAATGATATTCATCCCATAAATAAATCTAAATATTTTTGTAAAGTCGGAATTTGGATTTTGTATCTAAATAGAATAATAAATCTAGTTATTTTATATTTAAATAAGAACCATTTGACGAATATAGAATGTAATACTTGTGGCACTTTGAAGTCACAGGAAATGCGTACAATTAGTTATGCGTACAAAAGTTAAAAATAGTGAAGCACTTTTATTATAGCGTCAATTTATATCTAATCACAGAATCTCTGCAATTTTTTTGCCTCTGCGTACTGATACCTACTGTTATCCTTTGATTAGATACCGATCCACATGAGTCAATCAATACCGACTTGATTATACCTACAGACTTGAGAAAAAGAACATTTTTTAATGTTTTAAAATTAAATTAGATTAAGTTAAGTTGAGTTAAGTTGAGTTAAATTAAGTTGAGTTGAGTTGAGTTGAATTGAATTAAACTAATTGAAAATCAACCACACTCTTTCTATTAATTTTAATACTCATTTTCTGAGTTCATCTCCAAGTTGAAGTATTTCCACTAGTGTACAAAAATGGAACGCATTGTAAGGAAATTGTGGGAAGAAGCACTTCAAATAAAGGGATCTGAGGAAAATTTGTCGGCAAAGTTAGTGAACTTTGAGCTAACAACTTCAGAACCTCATGAGTCTTGAGAGGAACATTACAGAACGTTAGCAATACATGATGATTTGAAAGGGACTTGAGAGAAATGTAATGGGGAATTGAAAGATACCCAAGGACCCAAGAAGATTTAAATAGAAACTTGAAAGGAACGTTTTACGGATACGTGATTATACCGTGAGAGGCATTTGGGAGGAGCTGATGAATTTGAAAAGCTTAGAGCGAGTATGAAGGGAATTAGAGCTTGAGAAATATAAAGAGGTACTTGAGGAAACTTTGAGGGGAAAGTTAAAGGTAGAATGAAGGGCACTCGAGGAGCTTGAGAGGCTCGTTGAGAGGAATTTAAGGGAATTAAAGAGCAATTTGACCTGAATGTACGAGAGGCATTGAGAGGACTTTGAGAACATAAAATGACATGAAAAGAGAACGCTTCAGACAAACTTGCACAAAGGGAGTATTAAAATGTGTGAGAACTTAAGAGGTGGGTATTTAAGGGAGCATAAGAACAACTTGGACTTAAAATAAAATTTGATAGAAACTGGAACGAAGCTTTAAAGAAATTTGGAGCAAAGAATTTTAGTAGCTGTAAAAAAATTTGAAGAATTTGAGAAGAGGTTAAGAAGACTTGACAATTTTATTAGAATTCTAAGGAACCTTGAGATAAAATTATTGTAACCTTGTAATAGGACCTTTCCTTTAATCCCCAAGGTTGTTAATAAAATATAATAGGGTTTTGAGGGTTTGCGTTTGACCATCCCTTCTCTGATATAAAATGTCGAACTTCCTAAAGTAAATTCTGATTTTTTTTTAACAAATTTCATTGATTTGACTCCGATTAGCTCTATATGACAAGATTTTTCGTTCATGTATGAGAAATGCGTCTTTCCCTTTTACCTGAGACTTACTGTTGCATTTAATTTCCAATTCCTTCGATAGTGGACAATAAATACTCGAGCGTGGTAAAAACATGAATACATTGACAAAGAAGCTAATTTAAATCCACAATCCACTTTTTTTGGCGCATTTTTTAAGAATAAAAAAAATGTGCTATTGTTTGCATCTTATTCGTTCGTCCGTCCGTCTGTCTGTTCGTCCGGACGCACTTTGAACTCTTTTAGGAAAAGTGTCCTAGAGTCCTGGAATTTCTTGCAATAGGTAGCCTATACCTTGAATGTGTGCCACACTGCCAAAAAATTTTGCTGTTGGGGGGGGGGGGGCCCCCATGAATGAAAATGAATCGTCCAGACAAGACACATCTACTGGTGATGTCGAAACTTTCAGTGCGC